TYCGKGTGTCCGGGCCAGCTTGCGCGCACCTCGACTATTCACGGGCCAACCGCCTGACCCTACTACATTTGGTTGACAAGGAAACTCGTAGGATATTAAATCCTAGGTAGGTGGCCACCAAATGAATCATAGTAATAGTTTATCATCTTATAATGAACAAGAGTAATAAGTTTCAACAAGAACAGTTCTACCATTAACTATAAACCTAACTGAGGTGCAGTTAATTTTAAGCAATGTTTATATTTAAGTTTAGAAGTACAGTAAAGTCCCAAATACTGGATTATTGCAAGGCTAACACACTAAAACAAAAACAGGGAACAAATATGTAACTGGTCGTAGCCTTCAGATGTGATTCTAGACGATGTCGCCAATATCCCAGCATTGTTTATCAAAAGTTGCACTGAAGGATGCATTTTAGAGTCTTGAAGCCAAAGCTGAAGGGAATTTTTGAAATTCAGGATTGACTGGATGGATAAGAGATCGACTTGAAAAGCTTTAAGAAGGGCATCTTCATTCTGTCTTTTTATCTCCGACATTGTCTGCGATAATGTAAGCAGTCACCAAAGTAAGGAAAAACGCATGAAATACAGTATAGATAACCAAATAAAAGATCGTTCATGATGCAAACCTTCAACAACAAATGCCCAGACCGTCCAGCTGCATGTAGAGATCAAATTCACCATATAAATGGTCGACAGAAAATTGATTAACAAATATGATTTTAGAAACACATGCATCAGATCTAAATTCTGTAATTTTTTCAGAGAACGATTAGATTTGCTTGCATAACATTCAATGCCAAAAAAAATGATATGAAGAAGTGTTTGTTCAAGATGTTTCCCTATCACTAGAATAAGAAGACTTTAAAATTAAATAGTTTTATTGTTCATAAATACCTTATAAATTCCTGTACAAGTAAAAGAAAATATTATGATACTCACCCAAAAGATTTTTGTAATTATGATGTGTTGCAAATCTTTCCCAATTGGCAGACATCAAAAGACTGTCAGCTCCCATATTTCTTCATTTTTTTCAAAAAAATCTTTCCTTTTTAAGAAATCAAAGCATATTATAATGAAGTGAAAGAAATATACAAAACTGAACACGATATCCTCCTAATACAAGAGACATTACGAAGGATGTTCTCCAGATGATGATTATATTTTAGAAATTAAAAAAAGGAATGGTTATAAAAAGTTCTTCATGTGGAGCCTAAAGTTATGCAATGAAAGCAGCCCAAGCATGGGCAATGAGGGCATAACCCTCACGTAGAGAGAATGAACGGAATGATTCTAAAGTGTAAACCCACACTAGGAAAAAGCCTAGAATCATGAAATCATTAGCAACCCATTCGTTCTAAATCTTTCTAGATCTGAGCTTCCTATAAACACACATTGGCAATGGCATTACTCTTCTATTCTAGCGCACAAACTTTCCTCACACACTCTAGAGTCAAGGTACATTTTAGCAAATATAATCTAGACACCTTCTAATTATGCAGAAAAGAGCAAACACAAGTTCTTTCAACATATTCTAGGTAACTTCCACTATGTAGAGAAGTAGTAAATACAAACAGTAAATATCTAGATATGTAGATAACAGTAAACAGAAACACAAATCAACACATTATAACTATGTGATAGTATCCAACCAATCTTCACCTTAGAACGTGGAAGATAAATTTAGAATAATGGTAAAACCACCTACTTGAAGGACAGAAGAAGACAATCTTCTAATATCTTAACTCTTAAGCTTCGTTTCTTCAGAATGAAAAATTACTATAATTCTTTGGAGGCTTTGGAGGCACCTTAAATTCTTCTTCAGGATGCTTCTATCATTTCACCTTCGTTCTACATCTATTACACCCTTTCAATCCAAACTACAAAACAAAATCCCCATACTAGACTAGTAGAGAGTTGGTCCCAAAAATTTTCTTACCTTCACTCATCACATATTAAAATTTCATAAAAGAATCAAGGGAGATTCAAGGCAGTAATAATTTAAAGGTAAGAATTGAGAGCATTATAAGCCACATAATGTTGTGGAAACGAGGCCAAGACCTAGTAACATTTGCATGTTTATTTACAAATTGAGCATTAATTTATTACTACAAGACTTGAATGGTATATTGAAACCAAGATTGCAGTACAAGTTGAGAAAATGAATGAAAGGGCATGAGGAACCAACCAAGAACTACATAGAAACCACGTTTGGAAAGAGCAAGAGCAGCAGCTGCACCCAATCCAGAAGTAGCCTACAGCTTTCAAAACAAAGATTCTAAATGAATGAAAAGCACACAAGGAGAGAGCGATAGAGAGAAAGAGAGAAAGTGAGAGATTCAAATTGGATTTCAATTAAAGCATGAAAGTGACAAGCAACTTTACACCAGTGATAATGCAAAGTGGCGTGATAGCTTCTGAGGTGCAAGGCGAAACGCTTTTATCTGAGTAGTTGGTTTCAGATCTGTGGTTAATTGAGAAATAGAGGAAGCTTCGAGAAAATAGCAGCAAGTAAGAGTAGAGGATAGAGAGATTCCACAGCACTGCCATCCTCCAAAACTCTATTGACCTTAAAAACTGCCAAGCCTTTTTCAACTCTTCTTTCATCCCAGCCATCCTCCTCCCAATTCCTAATATTATCAACCATCAGGAATGGAAAAAATTCAATGCAACCTTTATAAAGCACCGGATTTGTTTTATCCAAGATAATATAGAATCTTGATCATCTTGTTGTACCACGATTACTCACCTACAGGGCAAAGGCAAAGATCATCATTTGGAAACGTAACACCATACACATTCATACATACACATGGGTTGGTTATATATTGTTGACATTGTATTGGATCACAATTCATTTTACTTTTATTTTACACTTTTTTCAAGATTTATTGAACTAAAATAATTAGAAGTACAAGGGAAAAAAAAACAGAACAACTACAATTAGAAACCAAGTCTAAGCAGTATGTCAAATCAAAAAATTGCAGAGAGAAAGATGCGGGAGCAGAGGAAAGAGAGTAGGTTAACCTAACATATGTTCCAATTGGAGCCTTGAGATTGAATTCAAATTTAAACGTGTAGTAGAGGGAAGTTGAAAAAGAGATGATAGCTATAGTGGTGTTTTCTTTCACCAGTAATGCTAGCTGCAGTGTTGTACTGTTAAAGTTGGTTGTACATCATTTACACATCCCAGTAAAAATGCACATCTCACCTCCCTGCAATTTTTTTGTCAAATTGTTGGCATTGGATTGAACACAAACAACTTTTACCTGCTGTGAAGTGATACCGGTTTGTATATGATTCAAAATAAACTTTGAATATGAAAGCGTGAATAATGCCAAATTTGAAAATTTCAAGCCATTGAATTGAATAATACCGTTATGTTCCAAATGCCTTGAAATAAATCAAAAGAATCGAAGGAAAACAAAAAGAAATACAAGGCCAATGACTACTTAAGCCATTTAGTATTTTTTTTTCTTGCAATGTATTACAATGCCATAATCGAGCAACAAATAAGAACAAGTTTTAAGCCATCGAATAACACCAATATGTTCCAAAAGCCTTGAAATAGATCAAAATGGTCCCAAAAAAAAAGTTCAATAACCACTTAACATTCTGTTTTTTTGTTCTTCCCAATATATTGCACTACGTTGCAATGCCATAATCAAGCAACAAATCATGAAAGCACAAGTTTCAAGCCGTTGAATAACACAATATGTTCTAAATGCCTTGATAAATCAAAAGGGTCAAAGTAAAATAAAAAATAAAGGCCAGTGACTACTTAACATTATTTTCTTTTCTTGCAATATATTGCAATGTATCAATGCCATAATCAACCAACAAGCCACAAGTTTTGAACTTTTGAATAACATCAATATATCTCAAATGCTTTGAAATAAATCAAAAGAGTTGAAGGAAAACAAAAAAATAAAAATAAAAAATACAAGCCAATAACTACTTAACATTCTATTTTCTGTCTCGCAAAATATTGCAATGCCAAAACCAAGCAACAAATCAGAGAAGCACAAATTTCAAGTCGAAACGGCATCTACAGAGACTGCAACGGCCACGACCACGGCCACCCAAGCCCGGAAGAGGGCAAGGCGGAGGAGACTGTATATGAAAACTGGGGAGCCGCACCTGAGTTCGTCGTCGCCTGAGGTGGAGTTCGCCGTGAAGGACCGATCGCTCGCCGGAGTACGCCGTCGCTTGATAAGCCGCAGGTGAAGATAGTGAGGTTGAACTGTCGAAGCTGGGAAGTGCAGAGATTTTTTTTAGGTTGAAGGAAGGTCCATCTCCATAATGGGGGTTAGTTTTCAAAAGGGCAAGTTGGACATTTCCCCTCTAAAAAGTCCTACTATTCCAGAATAAAAAAGTGGGCTAGGACCTGTTTGGTAAAATTATCATTTCCTGTTTTCAATAAGGGAGCACGCGTGCCTACACCGATTGAGTTGAGTAACCGATATTCAACCTACAATATTTATTATTTAACCTAAGCTTAGGAAACATAAAAAAAAACAAAACGACTTTTTCTATTTTTAAATTTTAGTTTATTTTTTAAAAACGTTTTTCAAATTTTAGAAACGACAGATAAATTACCAAATATTTTTATTTCTCAAAAAATATAAAAGAGAAACAAGAAACAGTATACACGAACTTGATTTTAATATCTTTAAATTTATCTTAGTTTTGATAAAATATGCCTTGGATAATGAACTATTTCCATCGATATCCCAATTAAAAAAGTGTTCTATGATCTTTTTGGTCGATAAAGACTTATAGGTTAAGAGAAAAAAAAGACATTATCAAATGGACTCGTCTTTAATATTTTTAAATTTATCTTAATTTTGGTAATTTTACTTCCAATACTAAAGCGAGTATACAGCTAAATGGTAATCGACATATATCTCGACACGATGAGTTCACCTTTCTTCTAAACAAAAATTTCCGTTCCAATTCTCTCCTTTGGTCAAGGTCTTTTCTCCTGCTTTTGCTTGGATCATTTCACTAGATATCAGTTGGAAGATGGGGAAATTTGAATTTGTGACCCCTCCAATAACTGAAACTGGATAAATGACCCCATTTTCAAAAAACTTAATTTGTAACCCCATATTATATTAACTATGACCCCTCTCAAAATATGACATAATGAAATTACCATTGTACCCCTGTTTTAAAAAAATTCATCCCCTCCCTCCCCATCCTTCGTCTCGGACGTTTCGTGGCACTCCCATCCCAAGTAAAACCCTAAACCCCCATCTCGGAGAATCCCCGTCTCGGAGAATCCATTTCGCACTCATCCATTTTTTCTAAAGATCATTCTTTCGCACTCATTTGTAAGCGTCAGATTCATCTCGGAGGCTGCAAGGTTAGTTCTATCTTTTACAATGTAAGAAAGTTGTTGTTCTTTATTGTATTAGCATAACTGGCGCTATCTGAAGCGACCGTATAGATTTAGGTTTAGTTTGACGTTGTGATTGTAAGAGAAAAAAAAATCTCTCGAATGCTTCAATCTCGGATTCTATCTCGTATTCAATCCCGGACCTCAGTGGTCCGGGATTGAATACTAATCGCATCCAAGATTGAAGCCTTCGAGTCCGGGACTGACTTTCATCTCGGACTTGTTCCGGTCCGGTTCGGTACGGGATGAAAGGCAGAATGCTGTTTTGTTTAGTTTTTTTTTAAGTTCCTTGTCAGTTAGCTTAGTCTGTATCTAATATGTTTTATTTCAACTTTGTTATGAACGTAGAATGGATTTGAGACTGATCCTAGATCGGAATGACTGGTTTCCGGCCACGTTGACGAACCTTGCCCATGTTGATAAAACCACTACTAGGATTAAGGCCAGGCTAACCCCAACCCAGTTAGACATGTTTAGGCAAACATGTTTCGGTCCTATTTTGGACATGGGCGTTGTTTTCAACGGTCCATTGATCCATCACCTGTTGTTGATAGAGGTTGAAGAGCCTAGACAGGACGTCATTAGCTTTGACTTGTTTAGGAAGAGGGTGTCTTTTGGTAAGCGAGAGTTCGACCTAATCACCGGGCTCAGTCATAAGATGAATAGGGTAAATAATCATATTCCTGGACGAAGACTTAGAGCACGTTACTTTAAAGACAGTGTTAGGGTTAAGTGTAGTGAGCTGGAGAAGATTTTTTTGGAGGACATTTTTTACGACGACGAGGATGTTGTGAAGGTTGGCATAGTTTACTTCATAGAACTTGCCATGATGGGGAAGGAGAGGAAGCAGTTCATAGATACGGTAGGTGTTGTGGATCGGTGGGAGGCGTTCTGCAACTCTGACTGGAGTTCGATGATTTTTGATAGGACGATTTGGAGTCTCAAGAACACCCTGAAGGATAAACTGTCGGCGTACCAACAGAAGGCAACAGCGGACCCCACACACGTTGAGACTTATAGTTTGTACGGGTTTCCGTACGCATTTCAGTTTAGCGAGGTTTAAGTCAACTGTATAATTTTATACATTATTCAACTGCATCATTTATTTGCCTTTCCTGGATTCCAGGTATGGGCGTATGAGACGATCTCGAGTGCTGGCGAGTGAGGTTTTCGATAACACTTGGGTAAGTAATTCTCTTTGGAGTCGTATGGTTCATATTTGGTTTTTCATTTCAATCTAATCATAGGTTTTTTGCAGTCCAAGGTTAAGGAACACTTGTTGGCGACGGATGCTGAGGAACAACACATGGTTCGTGTCATTCTTCCACCAGAAGTCCGTGTTATACCTGATCCGCCTGCTGTACCTGATCGGGCTGTTGTACCTGATCGAGCTGTTGTACCTGATCCGCCTGCTTAGGCAGCTGTACCTGATCCGCCCGCTGATGTGGAAATGGGTCTTCTAGAGGATCCGATAGTAGATGCACATGCGGTAGACGAGGCTAGACCCAGTGCAAACGACGGTGAAGGGTTAGAGAAGAGGTCGAAGAAGAATAAATTCAAGAAGAGGATCAGCAGACGGTTAAAGAAGCTGGATAACCGTGTCGGTGCTATCGAGGACACACTGGGTGACTTTGGAGTCACCCTGAAAGGTATTCAGAGATACCTAAAGAAACTGGCGAAGGTACTAATTTAATATATATACAAATTTGTTTTTAATTATTACAATAATGCTCATGGGCCAGTGTTTTGGGTGCAGGGTAAATTCCCTGATCCGAGCAAGTATTTCGGAGGTGGGGGTGGGCCCGATGATGACGCTCCATCGGATCAAAGGCCTGATGAGTCCCCGAAGCCAGATGGAGATAAAAGAGTATGAACGAGGACCAGAGGCCTGATGAGAACCAGAGGACGGATGAAGACCTGGAGACTGAAAAGGAACCGACGTCAGGACATGGTCCGAATAGTATCGACGAGGATCCGAAGAGAAGGGACGATAATCCAATGATAACGAAGGAGGATGATGGTATGATAACGGATGGGGAAGAGGATCCAAATCAGGTAACTCGTACTTATTTTCCTCGTCGGATTATTTATGACCTTGTCGTACATCATGTTATTTAATATCAGGACATTACGATCGGGAGACCGCCTGATGGCTCGAAAGTGGATCATGCAGATGACCATGGACCTCAGGTGGCCGTAATTCAGGTAACCACCTTCTGTAATGCTAGTATACATTCCTGATTCACATATTGTAATGTGATTAATATTTCTTGTGCATTAGGATCTCACCGTTGGCAGGCAAGAGCCGGATGCTCAGCCAGATACACAGCCCACGAGACGACGAGTTAGGCGTCCATATAAGGACTGGGCACCCGACGCGATCGTTAAGGTAAACTTAATGTCATGCATTTCGTCAGTTGTCATTACTCGACCTTACGTGTTTATTGTGGTTTAAGTTGAACCGTACCTTGACCAGGATGAAACTGACCTTCAGCATACCCCAACTGGCCGGGGGCTACGCAAGCGCCATTATTCGTGGAAACTGAAGGGTATATACACACCAACCGGCCGGCGTAGGATCACTGTGGACGCATATGACCCAGCATGTC